GGTGGGGGGGGGGGGGGGGGGCTGGGAAGGTGTGACTGACCCTCCCCCCACACCCCTGAAGGTCTCCTGGGGATCACCTCAACCCCTCTTCACTCTGCAGTGGGCCAGGTCCCCTTGCACCACAAACTAACCAATTGCTGCTTCTGAGGCGGGGCTGGGGCATATCATCATTTAGGGGCCACGCTGCTGCCTCAAAAGACAGCTCAGCTCCAGTTCCTGACTGGAGGGGACACAGGCCTGCTCAGATAGGCTAGGCACAACCCCTACCCGGTTTGTTCCTGGCCTTCCGCAAATCACCTCACTCCTCTCTGCCTCCAATCCTCATTATTGAGTGTAGGTGGCGGGCATAATACCGCCCTGGAGCTGTGGTGAGAGTTAAATGAGGTGATAATGCCGGGAGCCCTGCAGACATTCCGACCGACCCTGATGATGACTGTGATTAAATGGACGCCATGGGTTGGCCAGAAATTGTCTACCTGCTGATTGGTGGGGGAGAGCTTGGGGAGGGGGAGAGGAGGTAAGAAGCTCCTTTGCAGGGGGATATGCACTCCAGCTTTAGAGATGACCTTTCTGCTTCCCCCGGAGCTGCAGCTGCGTAGCTGAGCCATGTCCAGCCTGCTTTACCCACACCCCTCTATCAGGCTCAGCTTGATCCAGCCTCCATCCAACTTGCTCCCTGCGGAACCCTGCAGCCTCCTCCCCCAGAAGCCTCTCAAACCTGCAAGCGCTCTTGCTGACCAGTGCCCTCCAGTTTCAGAGAGCCCTTACCCACTGCTGTTGGCCACGTGCCCATCACCGCCACTCATGTCTCTGGTCTCCCCAGCTCAGGTTTTCACATGCTCCACCCAGGTCAGCCAGCGGCCAGCCCTCGGCCAGCCCTCGCCTGTGAGCGACCTGCTCTGTGCCACACTCCCCTCCCTAGCCCAGGGGCCCACGCAGAGCCGCGTGGCAAGACAGAGGAGGCATAATTACTGTGCAGGCTTGGCCCCCACCCAGAGGAGTGTGCGCAGGGCGATCCTCTTGTGTAGGTTCCAGTGCTCCACGGCCACGGCCACGATGAGGCCGCCCAGGAACAGCATGTTGGTGTCCTTCATGTACTGAACACACACCTGGAGGGCGGCACGGAGGCCCTGTCAAGGCGGCCCCTGGCCACACACGGCTTGGGCCCAGGACCCCGAGTCCCCAGAGGCAGGCAGGCAGACCAGATTCCAAAACTACGGGCAGCTCGGAGTAGATCCAGGCTGAAGTGGTGTGTCTCCATACCAGGGAGGTGCCACGAGCCAGGCTTACCTGGTTCCCCCCAAGCCAAGGCAGCTGAGAAGGGCTTGCAAAGAAGTCAATGGGGGAATCGGGAAGGTGCCAGGACCCCACGGGTCTGCTCACCTGCTTGGAGTCCAGAATCTGGAGGAGTGGGAAGAGCAAGACAGGCATGAGGGAGGTGACGGCCAGAGGGATGACTTCCGTGCACCAGTAAATGGCCATGAGGATGATGACGTAGGCACACCTGACGAACTGAAGAGACAGCCCTAAGGCCTCTGCGGGCTGTTGCCGCCTCCACGCTCCCGCCCCAGGATGCCTGCATGGCGGCTGGCATGGATTGCCAAGAGAAAGCGGTCTTGTCAGAGGGCAGTCCTCAGGGTCGTGCTGTCCCCGTCTCTGGTCAGTACAGCTTCCAGGCTCACGGCAGCGAGGAGGGCACAGATTCTACCTCCCAGAGACTCCGGCCCCAACTCCGAGCTCCTTCCTGCCTCCCTGCGAGGTTTCCCAGCTGCATGGTCACAGGCATGTCCTTTCATCTTTTCAAACTTTGGATTAATCACCTCTCCAAAGGGAAGGGGAGGGGCCAGCAGGTGGCATGGTGGTTAAAGGCACTGGATTCCCACATGGCCAACTGTGGTTCAAGTCCTGGAAACTGGAGGCTTGCCCTGTCACTCCTCCGCCCCACACACCATCTGATCAAACTGAAAATAATAATAGTAGTAATAAATAAAGTTAAATAGAATAATTTTGAAAAAGAATGGGAAGAGGAAGAGGAGACAAGGAAGGAAAGGAAAAAGAAGAAGGAGAAGGAGGGAAAAGAAGAGGGGGAGAAGGAAAGGAGGAAGAGGAGAGCAAGAAGAAAGAGAGGGAAGAAAAGGAAGAAGAGGAGAAGGAAAAAAAGGAGAAAAAAATATTTTTTTAATCATCGGAGAGCTCATGTGCTTGCCAGAGAGAGCCAGTGACAGAGAGGGAGAAAACACACCCCAAAAGGAGTGTGGTCACACTCCATTCCCTTTTCTCCCTTTCTCCATCCTGTTGGAATTTTGGGCACGCATGCATACGCTCCCGGTGCGTTTTTCAAGCTGTCAGGTCATGATTCACCACGTTCAGACAAATGGGACCCGGCTCTCTCAAGCACTAGGCTGCAGGGCCAGCTGAAAATATTTTTACTGATTTGTTCTAAGAATTAAATAAAATTCTCTCACAAAGTAAGTATAATCTCTATTTTGTAAATTAAGTGCATTTTTTTTCTACATACTCTCTCTTTTAAAAAAAAATTATTTATCTATGTGTTTGTTGCAATTTTCAAGCTGCCAGGTCCGGGATTCAAACCACAGTCAGCCATGTGAGAATCCAGCACCTTAACTACCACACCACTTGCTGGCCCCTCCACATTCTCTTTTAATCCTACTTCCTTTTCTCAACATTCTAGCAACATTTTTTATAGACATAATTTTTATTTTTATTTTTAGAGACAGATTTTTGCTATAGGGCGTATGTGCTTGCTAGAGAGACAGAGAGGCAGAAAATGAGAAATCACCCCCCCATGGGGATGGCCACGGGTAAATCCCTTCTCCTCCATTCTCCTCTCGGGATCTTGGGCATGCACTCTCAGGATTTTGGGCACACACACATATGTACCCGGCATGAGTTTCAAGCTACCAGGTCTGGGAATCAAACCGCAGTTAGACATATGGGAGTCCAGCGACGTATGCTTCTCATCATCTGCTGGTCCCAATATTGATTATTATTAATTTTTAAATAATTTCATTTAACTTTATCTATTTATTTATTTTAATTTGACTGGAGAGGGACAGAGAGAAAGAGAGAGAAAGTGAGAAAACAAGCCACCAGGTCCAGGACTTGAACTATGGTCAGCCATGTGGGAGTCCAGTGCCCTTAACCACCACACCAACTGCCAGCCCCATCAAAATTGATTATTTTTCAAACTGCAAATATTCCATAAATCTGACAGATCATTACACTTCTCTTTGCCATCATGCAGCTGAGTAAAAGTGGTTTCTTTTTACCCTCAAAAGGATGCTGCGATCACCCTATCTTATTTGGCTCACCTATTTTTAAATCAGTCTTTAGGAGAGCGCCCTCCTCAACCCCAAAGCACATCCTAAAATTCCCAATGCCCATTCCTAATTATCCCTCAAAGGGCTGGTCCAACTTTCCCTGCTCCCAGAAATATACACATACACCAACACATTCAGAGACTCGTAGCCACTATTTTCAAGATCTTAAAAAAAAGTATCTTCCAGTGGAGAAGACGGTGCAGGGTGTTTTCACCAGCACCGTTCTAATCACAAAGGTCTCAAGTGTTCCTTGTATTGAACTGTGTGCGAATCGTCTGCTCATATCCTTCAGCCACTCAGCCCAAAGCACTCGCAGGAACTGAGACAGATGCTCTCTCTCTCACGGCCTCTCAGCCTCAGCTCAGGGTCCTTCTCGGATGCCTTCCTCGAGCCCCTCCGCAGTCTGCCTGCATCCTTCCTCTGAGCACCCAGCCATCAGCACATCGGAACTGTCTCCCCACCACCACGAAGCACTGTGCGACGTGGAGACGCAGGCCATTGTCACCCGCATCCGGCACAGCCCTAATATTTGGGAAATGCTCAGCACATGCCAACGAGAGTCAGCCAGCCTTCCACCGAGCCGAGCTGAACAGCACTGCCCAAAAAGAGGTGCCTCGGGACCAGCAGTTAGCGTAATGGCTATGTCTCTGGACTCCCATGTCCCACGTAGTCGACCACGATTCGAGTCCTGGACCCGGAGGCTTAAACTCACGCCAGGCACGTGTGCGTGCGTGCCCAAGATCCCAAGAGGAGAATGGAGGAGAAGGGATTGCGGCTTTGGCATCCCCCCC